CTCCCTCTTGAGATGGTTCGTCGAGTTGGATGACGCCATAAGGGCGCGTCGCATCGACGACGGGGATATGCAAGTTGCATTTGCCCAGTCAAATCTGGCAGGACGTGCCAAGACTTGGGCACTGGGGCTCAAGCTGCACGACCCATATGCGTTTGGGTCGTTGGAAGTCTTCAAGTCGCGGCTCAGACAAACGTTTGAACCGCCTAGAGCTGAGTTCAGGGCTCGAACCGAACTCTTGAAGCTCAAGCAGGGTAAGCGTGATGTGCACGCTTACGCTCAACATATACGACATCTTACGAGTTGTATAAGTTCCAATCCAGTGGATGAACACACGTTGGTTTCGGTGTTCATGCAGGGTCTTGCGGATGGTCCCGTCAAGACTCACCTGTTCCGGCTTGAACTAGATTCACTAGAACAAGCCATTTCCATTGCGGAGCAGGAAGACTTCAGTCTGAGACAGGCTCGCGCCAGCTCGACATCATATCGTCAACCGAGACGATATGACAACGGAGGTCCAGAGCCGATGGAACTCTGTTATGTAGAGAGCGAGAAGGCTCGCTCTACAGGCTACAAGAAGTTGCAGAGATGCAACAGATGTCAAAAGACAGGACACTACGCTTACGAGTGTAGTGCCCCTCGTCCAGTGTCTCGCGACACTGGGCGTAGTGACCGTCCACCCATGAGAAAGGGGCAGGGACGAGGGTCCGCAGTTGGTGCAAAGACGCAACAACAGGATGGACCGTCAAAAAACGGACAGGATCAGTAGGTGCGGAGCACCCTACTGATCCAGCAACGTCAAGAGAATTTGTAGGCCTCTTGATGAAGGTTGCTCCCAACACACAGACGTTGTGCGTTGCTGCTCTAGGTAATGAGATCTCACTCATTACCTTGAAACTCGAAGTGACGAATAAGTTGTCCCTTCGAGCTCTAGTCGATTGTGGGGCGTCCAACAATTTTGTGCGACGCCAATCGCTAGAAGATGGTCACTTTAAATTCAGTGAATGTGACACACCTCCTACGAGGATGACGGTACGTCTTGCGACAGGCGCATCCGTAACCGTCATGAAGCGTATAGTGAAGATTCACTATACGCTAGAAGATACCCAATACGACGATGACTTTATCGTATTGGATTTGGATGACAAATTTGATGTCATCCTTGGAATACCGTGGCTCAGAAGGTACGAACCACGGGTAAACTGGCAACATCGGACAGTAACGATGCCTGCCGCTTGTTCATCAGATGGCCATCTGATGAACGTTTTGGAGCGTCCACAAGCGTGTGGATGTACTACGAGTGAGTGCGATGGCCTCACTTGTGGTACGGTCGTTAGTACGACTGCACAAAACCTTAGTGTACCAAACGGTTACACTTCGGAGCAAAGTTCCGGCGGCTGTGAGGAAACACAGGCTGCGCCGAAGGTCCACCACTCGAATAAGTCGGGTGGACTGGGACAAAGATGTATCCCTAGAGGGGAACATCTAGAAGAGAAACAATCGATCGCTCAGGTTAAGCGAAACGATAATCCTAGATCGACTGGAGAGTCTTTCGTAGAGGATCTCGCTGTGGTTGCGCAACCCCAGCTAGAGGAAGTAAAGGGAATAAGTCCCAAGATTACAAATACGGCGGAAATAAGTTCCCCGAAACCCGCGGGAATAAGTCCCCGGGAAGACGAAGGAATAAGTCCTTCGAAGCCTGAGGGAATAAGTCCCCAGGAAATGACAGAGACATTGAATGTCATAGTCAATAACGGATCATGTGTAGGCGCTTATACACTTGATCTGATTGCGCCTCCGAAGTTAACTTCGGAGATCACTCAGTTGCCAACGCTCGAACATAAAAGGTTCTTGCGTGATCTGCGTAGTGGCAAAGTCAAGCAGATCTGCATACTCGTCGCTGACGACGAGTATGTAACCGACATAAGGTCAGCAACAGTGTTTACTGAGAACGAGAGAGTTCTCAGTAGTTCATCTATGGACGAGAGTGTCCTAGATGAAAAGACACGAATTGAGCGATATGAGTCCCAATCATGGGAATCGCTCAAGGAAAATCCTCTCTATGAAGATTTGGTTGAATTCAAGGATGTATTCCCTGAAACTGTTCCGTGCGAATTACCGAAGGATAAAGGTATTCGACACGAAGTCGAGCTTAAACCAGGCTCGAAGTACTGTGTCATGAAGCAGTGGCCACTGCCTCGTGAACAAGTACTTGCGATCGACAAGTTCTTTGCCGATCGTTTAGCAGCGGGCCATGTGAGGGAATCAACTTCCCCACATAGCTCTCCGACCTTCTGTGTGCGAAAAGCAACAGGAGGGTGGCGGATAGTGCACGCGTTTAACAAATTGAACGCTGCAACGGTACCGGCTCAGACGCCGATACCGAGGAAGGACGTAATCATTGATGGTATGTCAAAGAGTACCATCTTTTCGTCCATGGATTTGATGGATGGCTTCTATCAAATCCTAATGCGGGAACGGGATATACCCTATACCGCAGTTAGCACGCCTAGCGGCATGCTCTGGGAATGGCTAGTAATGCCACAAGGGCTCAGTAATGCCCCTGCCACGTTCAACAGGTGTGTATCACATCTGTTGAGGCCAGTACGAGAATTCGCGCCGAGTTATTTCGATGACGTATTCATCCATAGTCGAGCTATGGATGGAAAGTCGGACGTTGAGGTTCACAGGTACCACGTCCGACAGGTTCTTACAATCATGCGAAAGCATCAATTGTATGCAAACCTCAAGAAGTGTATATTTGCAGCAAGCGAAATACCACTTCTTGGGTGCATCGTTGGTAAGAACGGTGTACGTCCTGATCCCGAAAAGATCAAGGCGATCACCGACTGGCCTGTGCCGGTCGATGTCAAAGGTCTTCGAAAATTCCTTGGGCTAGCGGCGTATTTGCATAAGTATTCACGCAATTACGCCGAGATGACTGTACACCTCTCTCGTTTGTTGAAAAGAACGAGAGGTGGTTATGGAACGCTGAATGTCAGCGCTCCTTTGAGGGTATCAAGCAGAGCTTGATACAATCCCCAGTCCTAGCAATAGCCGATCAGGACAGGCCATTTCATGTGGTCTGTGACGCCAGCGATTTCGCAATCGGCTGTGCATTAATGCAGTACGATCTTGAAGGCGTTGAACGCGTCGTCTGCTATCAGTCGCGTCAGCTGCAACCAGCTGAGCGGAACTATCCAGTGCATGACAAGGAACTCCTTGCCATGAAGTATGCACTCGCGAAGTTCAGAGTCTATCTATTAGGAGATAGACCCTTCATTGTTTACACTGACCATGCGTCATTACGCACGGCAGTGAACAGCCCGCACCTTTCACAACGAATGGCGCGGTGGTTGTCATTCTTTGCAGAATACAACTTTACGGTCGAGTATAAACCAGGACGACTCAATGTCGTCGCTGATGCACTCTCACGTCGGCCCGACTTTGAACCAGTCGCGAAACCCAACAGTGAGAAAGTCACTGTTGCGGTTATGACGTCCTCAGTCCCATCTACAACGTTGTATGATGATGTTAGGCGGGCATACGCCCAAGATGGTGAGATAGTGAAGTTGTTGACACATTTCTCACAGCCATCTCGACAATCGTTGAAACGATTGTCGTCTGCGTATCGATCTGCATCAGATCGATACACTACTCGAAACGGTTTACTGTTTTATACAGCCGTTTCTGGTGACACACCACGTGTTGTCATCCCAAATGATACTGATCTGCGTTTGCGGATCATGTTCGAGTATCACGATGCTCCTCTTATTGGAGGACATCGTGGCCGAGAGAAAACATATCTCACGGTGAGTCGAGACTTTTACTGGCCCCGCCAGTATCAGTTTGTGCGAAAGTATGTTCGCGCATGCGAAGTCTGCCAACGAGTGAAGTCCAGTCCTTCACTGCGTGCACCTTTACAGCCTCTACCGGTTCCGGCTGAGTGCTGGGAATCCATCTTAATGGATTTCGTCTTCGGGTTACCCAAAGACGCACGCGGGAATACGGGTATTCTCGTATTTGTTGACAGATTCAGCATAATGGTACACCTCGTGGCTGTACCAGAGACAATCACGGCAAGTGGATGTGCTTGTGTCTTTATTGACACCATCTTCCGACTTCATGGGTTGCCCCGTGAACTCGTATCAGACAGAGATCCACGATTCACTGCTGATTTCTGGCGTTCCGTGTTCAAATCACTCGGAACGCGCTTGAAGATGTCGACATCTGATCATCCAGAGTCAGATGGTCAGACGGAACGTGCCAATCGTGTCCTTGAAGAGATACTTCGAGGATACGTACACTCCTTTAAGAGTTGGAGTGAGTTTTTGCCAATGGTAGAGTTTGCCATCAACAACTCGGTGCATGCGTCCACGACACATACACCGTTTTACGTGAATGGCTTGCGCCATCCGCGTGTACCCACCTTACTAGAGTGTAACTCTGGTTTAAGGGGGGAGGGACTCGCGCGAGCAAAAACCGATTTGGTTCACGCTCATCACGCTCTGACGAAGAGGTCATTGCGTTTGATGCCGATATCGATAACATCGATATCGAAGAAGATGATGCCAGTGAGAGTGCGGAAGCCCTCACTGAAGTAGATGATCCCAGTGAGAGCGAGGAATCCCTTACTGAAGAAAAGGTTGATGTTGCTGCAGTGCGCTCACAGCGCACTGAAGCTAACGAGTCATCAGATGAGTTCATACTGGTTCGTGAAACGGTAGTCCGTTTTGTGCAAGATTCCATCGCTGAAGCGGTGGATAAGCAAAAGCAAAACGCTGACAAGAATGGAAGGGCAAACACTCTTTTATTTAATAAAGGTGACTTAGTCCTACTGTCTACGGTTAATCTACCAAAGCATGTAGTGACTAACTTGGGTAGCAGTAAACTACTACCCAAGTACATCGGCCCATTTCGTGTATTGCACCGCCTAGGCAATGCATACACGATCGAGTTACCACGTAAGATGCGAACGCATCCCACGTTTTACGTTGGTCGGCTTAAGCCGTACCATCAGTACGCTGCTTCTTCCGATGAAGAACGCCCTTGCGCTCAAGCATCTCGCAGAGAGCCTTGTGCTCCCGATGGTGGGCATCAACAAGGGTCTGAAGAGCAGCTATCTCATCCCGAGACCGATCAACAATCCCACGAGCTACCCTTAGCTCGTCACGAAGAGATGTCAGAGATCTCTCGTTCTCAAGCTGAGCAAAGGCAAACTCAGCTCGATGCTTCAAGGCAGTGTCCGCCATTTGGAGACGCCTATTCCGCTCATGTTCGAGATCGTCGCGTAACCCTTGCGTTACGCGATCAAAGAAGCTCTCGGGAACACACCGATCCCCATGATCGTGTGGAGAGCGTCTTTCCTCCTCCTCCACCTCCATTAGAGGACTCTCGCGGTGGCCAGCGCTATCTAGTTGAGCAGCTGTTGAACCACTGCGACGTGAACGGACGTCGGACGAGTTATCTCGTCCGGTGGCGCGGCTATCCCCCGTCCTGGGATTCTTGGGAGCCCGCTCCCAACAGATGATCGACGTACTGGGTCTGGTTGAGCAGTACGACGCGGCACATCCTGTGCCGCAGAAGGACCGCCGGAGAAAGTCTTCCCGGCACGGTCGTAAAGGGATTTCAGGTTGTCAATCCCTTCGTACATCTCAGTAGAGACACGTACGCGCCACCACGGGCTATTAGGGAGGTAAGCCTCCTTAGGTGCTCGTGCAGAGTTGTTCACACAACACGGGCACGAGTCTCCCCAAAAGAGGCAGGGTAATCCCTTCTCCCTTGACAGACGATGCAGCTTGTAGCGTGCACCTGTCGGGGTTCGCTTTTCAAACTTATCACGAGCTTTGATATGTTTGTCGTTCCAAGCGTCACGACCTACATCCTCGAGGTTATGGATGTAGGCGTTCCACGCTTGAAGTAGTGAGGGACCATCACGCTTGTGATTCCCACTGTACCATCGATGTCTAAAGAAAGCATCGATGAAGAATTCATTCTCAGCGCGATAGTTTTTCGCGCTGGGGTCAAGGTGATGGATCCTTGACGAATCGAACAACCGTGTTCGATAACGATCACTCGTCGTCGCCGACAAGTGATCCATGACGGATTTGGGAGGCATCCATGCCTTCTTCTCAGGAGCGAGACGCAACACATTGCGGTCCCGCTCTTCCTGCGATGTGCCGACAGAAGTACTGGCACCTCGCTGTGAAGTGGTGTCCATAGGAGAACCGACACCATTATTAGCGCCCGAGTCTCGCGACCTCGAGCGCCTTCGCTTCGGCGATGGTTCATCTGATTCATCAGATGAACCAAAGATGCTGCGACGCAAAGCATCATCCATGCCACGCTTGGCAGGCGGCTTAGATTCAATCGCCGTCGATACGGATCCGTCATCCGTATCAGGAGAGTACGAGACACCGAGCTCGTACTCTGTGAAGACATGAGTGTCTTCATGACTAGCGCCTGCATCACCAGGTGACACAGGCTGAGTCGCTTCAGCAACCGATGAGACATCAGTTGCTGTGGTTTCTGCTGAGGCGTCCGCACAGAGACGTGCGGACGCGCTCTCGGCGGCCTTGCTCGTGCATCGCATGGGCTTGTTAACCATGCGATGAATTGTTGGAAAGTGGACGCGGACCAACAAGTGCAAACCCTGTCCCAAATGATTTGGGACGAGTATCCATTTAGTCAATCAGTCACTAAAGTGACTGATGGTTAAGGGGGGGTGATGTAACGGGGTGAATCGTTCCATAACAATTTATAAGAAATTGTTAATAGAATATAACTATAAGAGTTATATTCTCAGAATATTGTCATAAGGACAAATATTCTGTAGCACTTCCAAGTAGTTCCTAATTGGTTGATATGGGCCATTATATCAACCAACGAAGACGCGCCACGACAGACGCACGCAATGAGTGGTGAGCAGATAACTGATATGTACATTTGTATTTAGACAAAGTTAGATGAAGATAAATAGTGATTTATTACAGACACTAACTATACTAAATACAGTTCTACTTTTTACTCTAACCAAGTACTCGCTTCTTCTTACCGTCTTCCTCTGCACGTACGAGTGTACGTGAAGTAACGAGGCACCGCCTTATTCTGTCATCAGAATAAGTAGCTTGTACTGTCACCAATACAAGCTTCAGGGTGCCCCGTTACTATGTGGATGGCACCGTTGGGATTATTCACGAAAGTATCTCATCCGGTCAGAACGGTTCAGAGCAGCGAAAGGGACCGCGACCAAAGGACCGCGTTTGAGGGACCGCGATTGAGGGACCGCGATTGAGGGACCGCGATCTGGCGTGAACCCTGCCCTGATGCAATCAGACAATTGGTGTGTCAGGTCTGTGCCACATGGATACAAGGGGCGATCTGTAGAGGCGACGCGTGGCATCTGATTTTCCGAGTTGTAGGGGTAAGGTGTGAGGGTCTGATTGGTTTACATTAAACAGAGTTCAATTTGCTTCAAACACATTCGTGTCGATCTTCTCCCGGGTTGAATATTTTGGCCTCCCGACGTCTGAGAATCTCGACATCAAGGATAGAACGATCACTCCAGGATCTATTTGGCCAGGAGTGCTAGGACTCTCAACACACCCCTACTGCGATCGGACGCAGGCAACCGTATCGGTTGAAGTACAAGATCGCGAGATGGCTCAAGTGGCCAGATAAGGCTCGCGACTTACGTACCCCATTTTTGGCACAAGGCGATCAAGGCTGATCGCGGCGACTCTAGAAGAGCGCCAACCCAGAACACGCGATCGGGTGAGGATTTTCCACCCGATCAGCACCAATCTCTACAACGGTCAAGTTTGGCATCTCGTCAAGTCCACCTAGAAGAGTGCAACCCGCCCTGCCGACGGGTACACAAGGTGAGGAGGAAACAAGTGCAAGCGGAATCGGAGTACCCCCTCCGTTAGTCTGTCGTCTGGGCGCCAGTGTAGAGTCGGGATCGCCTCAAAAAAATAGCGAACCCCACTCCACCACAATGGTGCGCGTGCCCGGATCTTCTGGTGACTCGGGATTTCACCGTTAGTCCCGAGATAAAGATGTTATGATCAAGACTGAACCTGGGATTGGAGCGTCAGAGAAATTTGGATCTCCACAGACGCGCAAAGCGAAAGGATCCTAAGATCTTCATAGTTTTGGGAGTGGCTATGATGACAAGAAAGTCAAAGAGGAAGATCACCAAGCTGATCTGGAAGAAAAACCTCAACCCCCTCCTGAGGTCCCTTCGGGGACAACCGCGGATCGTGCTGCAAAGCACGATCTGCCAGATGGAAAACCTTCAGTAAAAACCAAAAGATCTTCATCCGAAACTACCGCCCAACCAAAGGCGAGAAAAAACACTCCTAAGTTGGCCCGTTCGAAGACGAAAACGGCAGAGCCACATCGAAACAAGCAAGAGATCAAGGCAGAAGGTCAGGATGTGAAATCAGAAGGCTAGCAAATGGAACGGATCACCTGGGAATTCTATTGGCAACAACTGAAGAGTCTTCTTGCAGAAGACCCAGTCCTAAAGGTGCTGAAACCTTAGCTGATCGGGTCGATCCAAGGTCCAGTATCGCCACCAAAAGTGACCTCGAATCAGTTGGAGGCATTGCATCGGCTTATTCAGCTGCTAAGAGACGCTGGATTTACAGCTGGAGCTTTCGACGCACAAACGCTCTTAGAATTTAATCACGATCGAGTGATCAAAGCAGGACAGCTACTATTCGAAAAGATAACTCCACTGACAGGGTCTCACAACCCTTCGAGCGAGCGGATCAAGAGTGAAGAAGGACATCTGAGCCAGCGAATCAAGAGTAAAGAAGGACACCTGAGCCATCTGGTCGAGAGAGAGGAAGAACACCTGAGCCAAGGAAGAGAGTCAACCGACCGCAACGTGAAAGAGGAATACACGGGGTCGTCACGCTATGCCTCGGCAGAATCAGATATGGACTCAGCCGAGTCGTTTGGGATGCAGCGGATGTCGCTGGGACCGACAGGGGCAACATCGCTTAAAAACAGGCTCGACCCGGCTAACAGTGGAATACGATCGACTCAAATTCTGGCTTCACAGAATGCAAACACGATGGAGCCAAGCCAGTTGCAAACATATTTCAAGGCCGCCATGGACAAATTCATTCGCGATCACGAAGAATAAGGAGCTAACTACCCGATCGTCCCAGACGTCGAAATGGAGTCAGTAGACTCATACCGCGATCGACCGGGATAACATGAGTCGGATCGCAGGGGACCATATGATCTAGAACGACCACAAGTGGCAACTGCTGGAACCGCCCCTACGGGAGGTTTTAGCGCACAGAGGATTAGATTGTCGGCGATGGCCGATCTGAAAGAATTTTCGGGACGTGATCAAGACGAAGAACGTGCTAGAGGTTGGTTTAACAAAATGAAGACTGCCTTTCTACGCGATCAGGCTCCAGACGACGAGAGATGTCTGGTATTTGGAGACCTGCTCACAGGACCTGCCCGTAATTGGTACAGCCAGTTGAGCCGATCGACCCGCGATGATTGGAAGTCGTTGTCGGAAGGCTTAATGGTCCGACATGGGGGATATGGAATGTCAGATGGAAGACAATACTACCACGCGCAGAAGAGACCAAATGAAACCCCGTTGGAATACTTGGACCGGTTGAATGTAGCAGAAACGCGAGCAAAAGTGGCGTTTCAGAGATGGATAGCCAGCAAGCCGACGTGAGCATGTAGAACACTTCATTGAAACTTTGGATGATCGAGAGTTGGCGAAGCAACTGATCCTATTGCGAGTGCATGATGCTAACACGATGGAAGAAACTCTACGCGCTTACCAGCGTATGAGTTTTCGACAGAATAAGGATCCGACTGACTCGAACAAGTACCGATCGCGATCGGCTACGACGCCAGCCCAAGTATATTCGAAGACACCACGGATAGTGAAGGCCATTCGTGCAGAAAGTGAGGAAAGCGACTCAGGCTCAAGTTCGGACGATGCAGATGAAGAAGATTTTCGCCGTAAGGTTTGTGTGACGACTATCACTGATCAGGCTGCAGACCCAGGGGATCAACGAGACAGATCGCGAAAGACAGACCGAGATGATGATCGCGATCGGGGCGGAGTTGCGAAAGCCTGCACACACTGCGGCTCGAAAAGACATGAGGATCGCGGATGCTGGAAAAGATTGACCTGTCAGAAGTGTGGCCGAAAAGGGCACCCCTCGGAAAAATGTCTACATGTGTGTTCCGCCTGTAGGGAGGTTCATGAGAGCGGCCAATGTCCCATGGAAGAGTTCTACATCCTGATCCGCAAGTGGTACGTCCCAACCAAGCATGCAGGAATACTACCGACCAAGGCATAAGAGATGTTAAGCTAGGACGCTTGCCAGGATGGAAT